TAAAAACATTTGTAACATTTCATTTCCAGAATAAAATGTATTTTATATATAATTGGAAATAATATTGTATAGAGGCTAGAATATGATCATGCATTTCTATACAGCTTTCTAACATTAAGTAATAAAAAACAGTTTTGTTTACTGCCTTGGGTTACTTGTAAAAGTAATAAAGGTGGGATAGAAATCTAATAATAATAATGTAAGAGCCAAGCTGCGTAGAAATACTGCACCAGATGTGTCAAACTCGCAATGACACAGTCATCATGTTACATATCACAACTCCCCCCCCCCTTTTTGCTAAACCAGGGTGGGCATGGCCAGCATGTGACACATCTGGCCTGTGACCCGCGAGTTTCACACCCCTGTTCTAAGACTACTAGAGAATGGGAAGAAAGAGAATCATGCCCCCACATGGATTTCTTTCATTCTGTTACTGGAGACATGGAAGCAGTAGCAGCAATTCGAACAGAGTGGGGATGTTTTTAAAATGTCTCCTTTGTTTTTATTATGACTTTTGGGCTTTATACTGGCTGAGTTTTTAATTTATTGGGGGATCCAAAATTGTTTATTTTTTTGGATTGCACTTATCTGCAGTGATGATTCTCCACCTATATTCTACCCCAAATATAATGAATAAATACCGGTTATAATATATAAAAGAAACCATATTTTATTATGAGCTTGGAACAAACAACCAGCTTCATTTTGAATGGATTGTATTCTAATTGACCAAAACTTGAAATATTTTCAGAATTGTGCCCTAAGGAACAATATGAATGTGAAATAGTTTATGGTCCCTCTTTTATTGTCCATGCTGGCTTTTATACAAATAGCAGGAAGAAAGCAGCAAAGTTGATAATAAACAGTTTTAGGTATGCACGCAAGGTGCATAAAGTATCTATTTATTTATTTGTGCCTTTGAGATGGTGTTTATTTTTGGCAACTGCCTGAACGGGTCCTTATAGTTTTCTTGGTAAGATTTCTGAAGTGGCTTGCCATTGCCTGCTTCATATGACTGAGAGACAATGACTGGCTCAAGTTCAGTTTTTAGCAAAAATTATAAGTCAAAATAAGATACTAGTGACCTGTAGGGAGGCAGAGGTATAATAATGTACTATAAATTATGGTTTAAGATATTTGTTTGTAAATGAATAGTAACTCAGTTATTTCTTCTGCATATTATAAAGCATTCCACTAGAATTAGTGAGCTCAGAAAAGAGTGTGCAAACATGCAATTCTAACATTAATTTCTGAATGTTAAAGTGTGGCTTAGCAATAAGTACTTTACATTTCACTGAACAGTTAAGAGGAACAATAATTGAACAGATTCAAATTACATTCATGTACAGATTGATAAGAGAAAATGTCTCAAGTGCTTTTTACTGGATAAAAGTAGCACATGTTACATAAATTCCTCTGTCAAAGGGGATTACAGAGCAAAGACCTATAAACAATTTAGCAGTTTAAACAATGGTATCAACATAAAAGCATTCAAATATAAAATAAGACTAATCTGAAATAGAATGTGCATAATTTTCAACAAATTCCACTGGTTTTTTTAAAACCATATGTATAACAATAGATAAAAATTGATTACCTCAGCTGTCATTAGTCTGCTTGGACATTTATTAACTGCTGTGAAGAGTACTCTAAGCCCACCTTCCAGCTGAGGAAGTAGCAAAATGACACAATCTGCATACCTGAAAGAAATATTATTGTGAGACTGAGCTACAGCATACTTTGTTTTATTTATGCAGAAAAATGGTTTTAACTATTCAGATGCCATAACCTGTGATAATAGGGAATCTTACTATGCTTGGAGCATATTGTTAGTTGGTCAGGCAATGGGGAAGTCCTTAGACTCTAATGTAAATTAAGGGTCAACAGACTTGCTGGTCATTTTATGGGAAAAGAACCATCTTCTTCAGTTGTGTGTATGGAATGATACTTGTAATTCTTATACCAAACAATAGTTTATGGAATGCAAAATGGGACAACTTGCCATGACCAACTGGCAATGGCTGAATTGACATGGCTGATTCATTGAGGGGCAACTAGCTGCGGGACAAGTCCTGGCCTAATCACCATGGCTGATTTGTCCTGGGAAAATGGTATAATGGGTCTTGTCCCCTTGGCCAACTCGTCGCGTAATAAGCCCCAGCCAACTTGCCACCGCTGACTCACCCCAGTATAAGGGTTTAATGGTTCTCAGCCTGGTCAATACAATATGGTCAGCTCAATGCAGGACAACTTACTGCAGCCAACTCGCTTCAGGACAACTTCCTGTGGGACAGGCCCCAGCCAACTTGCTGCAACCGACTTGCCCCGGGACAATAATATAATGGTTATGCAACTCTGTACAAAAGCAGAAGGTGTTTTTTACATAGATCAAAATATAAACAAATAGCCAAATTATCTGAAAATTAATGATACTTGGCCTGGGGGCCATTATACAGCTCTTTTAATTTGGTTCCCTTTTGAAAGTAACACCAATAAATGAACACTGAAGATATCCTATAAAAAGGAAGACATTGCCACATTTTTTGCCTAATTAAGTCATGATTATGCCTTCCTTTTCGATTTTCCATGGAACATTTTTATTATATTGATATAAACCGTTTCTTTGTGATTGGGATGTAAACATTATGAAGATAAATGGGCTGAACTTAATGAGGATGGATTGATGACTGAAAACAAGGAGAGAGAGAGAAAATGAAAATATGGCCTAATGGAATATTGGTAAGGAAAAGCATTCAATAAATATTGAATATTTATTAATATTGGAAGTTAAATATTTCCAAATTGCTGTTATAAATGTATAGTAGTAACATGTATCAAATTGGATGGATTACAGCAGAACCATTTGAGATCTGAAGGTTTTAAAAGAAAGAGCTATAGTAGTAGGTTAAAAACACCCTATCCATTTCTCCTAATAAATGCATTTTTATGTACATTATAATGTATGCTCAATAACCAGCCCTGGAGTGAAACTCGCCTGCCAACTTAACTGGGCTCCATGCATAAGGTTAAAGTTGAGAAATCACTTCGTCTATCCCAACCAGAAACTAATTAAAGGAGGCTCTGTCATGACTTATTCTACTCTCTTAATATCCAATCACTTTTTCTTTTCTTAATTTTATAAGCAACTTGAAGTTTGCTGGCTTTCATTCCAAGGAATAATACATACATGCATGCATACATACACAATACGCTGCAGCCCATATTGGACTAATTCCTGGTGATGCATTATTTTGTGATCAGAACTTCCTTTGCAAATGGACAGAGAATATCCTCCCGCTTTCATAAGCAAGATTAGAAAATTGAACATTTCTATTGTTTAGTTGTAGCATATTTTCAGGGAAATGCTCTCTCTCATCATCACACTGATCCTCTTGCTTGATTATGGTTGCCTTTGTTACTTGTTGACTCATAGTGTTTCAATACTTAGGGGGATGAATGTTCATCTCCTCTGCTGATATTCAGCAAAAGATGCATGGATGGGGAAATAAAAGCTTCTTCCTGTTGTGTTAAATAGGTAGTTATCCCACACTGAATTGTCCCGCAGCAAGTTATCACGCGTTGAATTGACCGTGGAAAGTTGTCCTGCATCAAGTCAGCTGGGGCAAATTGGTCAGGATGACTAGTCCTACACCAGGGGTCCTCAAACTTGGCAACTTTAAGACTTGTGGACTTCAACTCCCAGAATTCTCCAGCCAGCTATGCCAGCTATGGAGTTGAAGTCCACAAGTCTTAAAGTTGCCAAGTTTGAAGACCTTGACCCTATGCCAATGATGGCAAACCTTTTCAGCATCCAGTGTCCAAACCAGAACACACGTGCATGCAAGTGTGCATATGCAAGCTGGAGCCCCAGAAACTCAAAGACCAGCATGCACGTGCCAGCCACATGGTTTTTGGGTTTCCAGGGCTCCAGCATGCACGAAGATCAGCTAGCCAGCACGCATGCACACACTGGAAACCAGAAGAGCAGCTGGCGACAGCGCGCTTGCCCACAGAGAGGGCTCTGCGTGCCACCTCTGGCACACATACCATAGGTTCGCCATCATGGTCCTGGACCCTATGGAATTTTAGGCCAAAGATTGAAAGAAATGACATCTTATGTCCAATACGTAAATGACCTCTAATAAATTATGCTTTGCATTCCAATTGCATTAAACCACTTTTCAACTACTTAAAAAAAGGTTAAAACACACTAATGTTGTTACCGTGCCTGCTGGAATGAAGTTATTGCAGCAATCCAAAAAGGTATCATAGTCTTTAGTACAATATTGGATTTTGTTACTAATTCTTTAGCCAATGACAAGAGTTCTTGATTCAGATCTATAAAACAGAAGAGAGGAACTTGCACTGACATTTTGTTGCATTATAAAAAAATAAATTTATTGTGGAGAAAAATGATAATCAAAATTTATTAAGACCATCTTCAAGTAATGCTCAAACAATGCTTCTACCATTACTTGTAAGATTTAACTGCCAAGTCTAGTGCATCTTTATTGATTTTTTATATTTTCCAAGATTTTGCAAAGCATTCTATATTTGATGCATTTTATCCTTATTTTACCACTCTTCCTCACAAAAGATGTTCCCAGAGGCTAAACAGAAATAAGACAATATATGTTTTCAGATTTACAATCTAAAACATATGACTCAAAAGCAAAATGGGCTGAAAGGAGGAGGATAAAAAGAAAATTTAGATACTAGTTACTGATAAAGATACCAATTGTATTGTATGGATTATGAATGAAGTGGTATTTTAATTATTTTTTATACAACAGATTTAGGCAAGGAACTAAACAGACAAACAAACACATTTAAGCCTCTCACACCCATTGTTTGGAAAAGCCTGATCTAAGATTGCAGTTTTTATTTTTCTAGCTCTTTTAGATAAACATGTAGTTTTAAAAAGTCTGGGAACCTACAATAATGTCATTCTTTTGTCTGAAATGTCACTTGTTTTATTCCGCTTCTTTTATGCATTTTATGTTACATTGTATATTTTTAATAATTCAAACAATTCTGGATTCAAAACATCTCTCTTGAATTTGAAAATCCCTGTGTAGGCTATTTCTTAAGTGTCCGCATTCAAAACAGCTCAGTCCAACTTAAAAATCTTCCAAACTGACTAATGCAGCCAGCTATGCATTTGAAACAATTGACACACATTTGATTTGGATTGAATCTGAATGCAAATGATTCAACTCAAAATGTTTTATGTGTTTCTAATTTCTAATCTATTACATTTAAACATCTCTAAAAAATGCTCCGTGAATATAGGTAGTCCTTGACTTACAACCACGATTGAGCTCAAAATTTATGCTGCTAATTGCAAAATTTGTTAAGTGAGTTTTGCCCCATTTTATGACTTTTTTGCCACGTTGCTTTTCTTCTCAATTTAGTGTTCTCCGGTAATTTCCTGATCTACATGAGAAAATATTTGACAACTCTTCAGTCCCCATTTGGAAACAGATTTGGTAAGATGTCAGACAAACCCATTCCTCATCTGAAGAATGCATAGAATTGGCCATAGATGATGTCTATATGCACATACTCACCAGAACTAAACAAATTAATGCACTTTTTAATGTTTTTTTGTATCTAGAACATAAGCTTCAACTTCAGGAAACTATATTTGCATAAAGGTTCCAATTTCTAAGCCTAGCTAAAAGTGAAACTAAAATAACTTCAATAAGTATACATATATATTTAAAGATGGTAGCTGTGTATCATCTTCAACAGTAAACCATTAAAACAAATACCTGGAAATATATGCAGCTCTTTCAAGTGAGTGAAAGACACATAGGGTCGATGAATTAAAGCAGAGTGGGCCTGAAGGCAGTAATTATTAAGCAGTTGCCCCAATCCGGCTGTTAAAAAAAGTAGCATGGAGAAATATCTATGGAAAATAAGATATAGAACGCAGTAGAAAAATTCTTCCCCAAAAAATAAAATTCAAATAAATATTCAAATATCTTGAAACAAAAGAAAGTACTCATAAAAATATAAATTACAATCATTCAAAGTTAATTAGTAGCATGTCATTTAGATGTGAATAGTCTATCTCTTTCTAAATGAATATATCTTCCTTCAATTATTGTTCAGTTATGTTTCTAACTCTGTTGCAATAGGAACAAAAGAATCACAATTAATTTTACTTACTTGACAGGAATCTCTTCAACTGACACAAATCCATGCCACAAAATATTACGAAGATTTAGACTATCTGGAGACCCAATGAACACCTTCAGAACATCCATCTAATTTGAACAAAAAGTAAATAGTGCAAAATATATATTATAATATATAAGAATATATTATTCATATACTGTTCCATAAACAAATGAACCATACAAATTTCCTATCCTGTAAAACTTCTCTATAAAACCTGACTCACTGGATATCAACTTCCAATCTTTGTGTAAATATCCCCTACCACATTCTTATTCAATATTTACTAACAGCCCTGTTATATTAATATTGTTCAAAGTAAGGCATTGAATAAAAATTAAAGTGTATATTTAAATAAATGTAAATATACTTAATATTTAAACATTTTTAATTTGAAATTAAAAATCTAACACTCACCACTGGTTGCCCAAAGATAGAAACAAGTTCCGGAGATGCAAGCAAATCTCTTAGAAGAAAAGGACAATCTTTCCCAATTAGTAAGAATACCTGGAATACAATATATTTCACTCTGAATATTTGTCCTTCCCAGACAATGTATTTGTTAAAAGCATCATATCCAATTCCTCTTTTATGTTCAAAAGAGTAATTTGAAACAAAGCAATACAGAAACGTAGTGACATTGAAATGTTAATTATCTCATCCAAGCAAAGAAGTATGAAGCAACTTCATATCAGTTCTTGGATCATCAAAGCATTACAAAGTGTGGCTGTTTGGATTTTTGAAAGAGGACACATCCAAAGATAGGCTCAAATCAGGAGCTCACAAACATGGATATAAGATAAGTGGTACTATTAGTAACTTTTTTGGCTGAAATGATTTGAAGCAATTGGGAAAGTTGTCCAACAATCTTTCATTGTGAATTCACTGGGTTTATTGTCTTATGAATTCTAAATGCTCAAGCACCGTTCGGTCATCCAGACTCCATCCTGATGCAAGGGATTACTGGCTAGTTAAATGGGGAAAAATGTCTTATGAATGCTATGACTGCCTTGCTGTCTTTACGTCCAAATGCATGTGAACTGAACGACTGCAGAAAACCCATTCAGTTATTATTATAGGACATCAGGTTTATCACACGCCAGAAAACTAAAATGAATTCTTCATTGTTATTATTGATATTAAAAATGCTCCAGCTAAAAACTGCCGCAAAAACAAAATTTGACAAATACAAACATGATAGCTAAGTTAGTTGTAGATATCCAGTAATGAGGTATAATTAAAAGATTGCTCCTTTTTGACTTCCCTGCTTCTTGGCCTAAAGCTTCCGGAAAGACACTGTAATGATTTTGCACTGTAACATAAGACACACCTAACATGGGATAAGCCCCACTGAGATTAACGCATAGGTTTTCAAGTAAATATGTCTTTGAACTGTTATTTATCAAAACCTGGCTGACTTTGTTTAGCTTTTCCATAAATGTATTGTAGGAGTATTTATATGTGAATGTTGCATTAGTCATACAGAATACAGTGCTTTGGATCAAAATATTAATATTGCAAGATTTATGACTCCAAGAGAGGTTTCAAATTCTACATATCCAACAGAGTGAGAAAATTCTCTAAAGCAAGTAATCGGCCTTTTTCTCAAGTCCATTCTATCAGCAGACATGTAGAAAACCAGCCACTCTCGGTGCTTGGGCAGAGGAACCAGCTGGTAATTATACTGAATCTGTGACCTTTTAATTAGTAAACAGGGAAGTGAAACGCTGATTTCTTGAGTGTAAAAAAGAATCTCATTGATCACAGGCTTGACATATTCCAAGATTTTAGCACTTACATCACCCAAGGCTCGTTCCAAACATGATGTAAGCTTCATTAAACTGAGTGCAACTGCTGCACCATGTGGATTCTTTATGGTATCAATCATTTCCAGAAATATCTGTAGTTTATACAAGGTGGAAAAATGAAGGGTAACCATGTGATTTTTATTAGTGCATTTATATTAGGAAGAAATAGCTTAGTGAGAGTACATACACAATTCAATTAGAACAATTAAGGTTTTTCAAATCACTGCTTCACAATTATAAAAAGAATATCTTTTCTTTTCTTTAACAAGTACTTAAAGGTGAAAAATCACAAAACTGCAAATTTAAAATGTTGAACTTCTTTTGGGAAATGTTAAAGGAGACAAGACAATGGTTATTACCTGGTCTATTACCAAATTAATTCTTGCCTTTTTCTCCAGTTGGACAATATATGTCTTTCACTTTGCTTATAAACACTTACGACATCAAATCATAAAAATGTCTGCTGCCAAGGTAATTTAGCATTTATATATTTCTGCCACAGAATTGGAAATGACAAAAAAGTTATCAAAAGAAATACAATCATCCACCAAATCCTGTTGGCTAACTTACACAACCCACAAGGTAGCTGCAAAATAAATTACTCTAGATTTGCTTTATATACATGGGAGAGAAGGCCTGCATGATTTGCTGACTTCCTTTTTTTCTAATTGATTTCTATTTGGATGAACAATTTTATCACAGCTCTAAATCTGGGGTAATCATCTCTGCATCGGAACACAATTCTTCTGTGGAAAACCCATAGAACCATGCATTATCAGAACAAATATCCTAGGGCTAAGCTCACTAGTATTTTAGAAAGCCAGGGACCAATTTTCCGAGGCTGGAGGGTGTGTGCTTTCGTGTATTACCTGCATCTCATGGATGAGGCTTTGCTTGTTTTTGCGGCATGGTTTCTTACATGCCGCAGACCAGAGATGGCTAACTTTTTTGGCTCCCGTGCCAAAAGCGGGGGAGGGGGGGTCAGGGGTCATGCACGGGTGTGCCACACCTATGCTATGTGTGCTACCCCCCTGCGCATACGTGCACGACCAGCGAAACCCCCCCCCCACTTTTGGTGCAGCTTTTTTGCCCTCCCCAGGCTCCAGAGGCTTCCTAGTAGCCTGGGGAAGGCGAATGCAGGCCCCCCTCCCCCAGAGACTTCAGGAGCTTCCCTGAAGCCTCCAGAGGGCGAAAAACAGATCTACGGGGAACCCGGAAGTTTGGGAATGATGACTTCCGATTTGCTTGTAGGGCCAGTTTTTGCCCTCCAGAGCCTTCAGGGAAGCATCCTGAAAGCTCTGGAGGACAAAAAATGGTCCTACGAGCAAACGGGAAGTTCATTCTCGAACTTCCGGTTTGCCCATAGGGCTGATTTTTTGCTCTCCAGAGGCTTCAGAGCATGCCTGCTGGCCAGCTGACAGGGCAACGCCTCGTGCGCCCTAACAAATGGCTCCGCGTGCCACTTGTGGTACCTGTGCCGTAGGTTCACCATCACGGCTGCAGACCGATGCTGGTCTATGGACTGGGGGTTGAGGACCACTGCCATACGCTAAAGAAATGTGTGTGTACATATGTGTGTATCCATCCATTCATCCATCAATCCATAAATTCGGGATGGGGATCCAATCCAACATTTTCCTACCTCTGGGCAGTTTGTCCATTGAAGCCATACCACAAACTGGTTTTCAAATTGTTCCACTGTAAGTGATTTCAAATGCAAGTGAATAGATTCACATAAAGGACCTAAAGATCTCATACTGTTGATATAATCCAATATTGAGTCTAAAAAACAAAATAACCAGGTTCAAGAATACTGTCAAGTACTGCTAAATATTAAAAAAACTTCAAAAATATTTTCTCCTGAAAGGGTTCCCTGCTTAAATTCATTAAGAAATTTCCTTTTTTGTAGAAAATCTTAAATAGTGATTTGGTCACTGAAGCTAAAATTAGGAATTCTAATTCTATTATTTTTAATAAAAAGATCCCCCCCCCCAACCAAGTAAAAGATCTCCGCTGTATATGCAAATTCAGAAACACGTCTTACTGTCCCAAGTATAGCAATACACTATATTTAAAAGCAATAAAGACCTTGCTCTCCATATTGTACATGTTTTGTGATGAATTCCCAATTTATTTCACCACTGTCGCATATAAAACTACTGACAGCACAGCTTGTTTTCCTCTCAAATCCAGCTTCACAAATCATATAATGCACTGTAGGGGAAAGGCAGGTAGATGGTGGATCAGCTAAGAACATCTGAAATGCAATAAAAAGGCAAATGGTAATATAAAATAAGGGAACTCTTGCAGTCTCACTTTTTTATCTAGATCTGGAACACTTCATCAACTAAAGGTAGGCTTAACCAGAGAGTCTCTGGGGAACCCTCCAGTTCAATCTGGGAAGCCACAGGTCATCCTTGTCCAATTCATTTCACCAATTATGGGCCCCAACATATTAATGTTTGCTGACTTCACTATGGTTGTAATAAATACATGTGGGAGAAAACAGTCACCACTTGTAATGAAGCTGTGACAGAATTGCATAAATGCATTCCTCTCATTGACTGAGGATGATGCTTCTAATTCCTCTGGATAAACAGAAGGTTTTTTTTCTTCATTCACATTGGGGAAATATGGCTTTTGAGTAGGAAAAACAAAAAAACACCTGTTATTGCTGCATTTTAGAAGTCATTGATAGCTTTACAGCCCAGATTGGTAACACTAACAGACATCATATTATAATTCCCCCACCCCACCCCGCCCAATAAAGCACCAACCCACTTTGTAATCCGAGAACAATACAGTGCAACAAAATAAGGGTCACAATTAAGCAAATAGTTCTATATTAATACTAATTATGCCAGGCAGTCACAGGACCTCTGAATTTAAGATGCATTTCTGTCTAGGTGATCGGGTGAAAGCACATACAGGTAGTCCTTCACTTACAACCACCATTTCCATTGAATAGAATAGAATAGAATAACAGTGTTGGAAGGGACCTTGAGGTCTCCTAGTTCAACCCCCGGCCTAGACAGGAAACCCTATACCATTTCAGACAAATGGTTATCTAACATCCTCTTAAAGACAGTGTTGGAGCATTCACAACTTCTGGAAGCAAGTTGTTCCACTGATTAATTGTTCTAACTGTCAGGAAATTTCTCCTCAGTTCTAAGTTGCTTCTCTTTTTGATTAGTTTTTACCCATTCTTCTTGTTCTACCTTCAGGTGCTTTGGAGAATAGCTTGACTCCCTCTTCTTTGTGGCAACCCCTGAGATATTGNAATAGCAGTTAGACTTATATACCGCTTCATAGGGCTTTCAGCCCTCTCTAAGCGGTTTACAGAGTCAGCATATCGCCCCCAACAATCCGGGTCCTGAAAAATGTAGCAGGCCCACTTATATAAGAGGAAAGAGAACCCTGCAGTGCATTTATAGCCTGATGATGGGGATGGGGCTTTTGATGGCTAACCAAATTGCTACCTCCTGGTTTCCCACTTCTTTAGTGTAATGCTGGGAAAGGTATTGTAGCTAGCAACCATTTGCCCTACAGAATATCTCATGCTGATTGATATAATGAAAATAATGCTGGCATCCCCTACCTGGCCATCTGCATTCAAGCATCAAGCGTGTTTATTAAGAAGTAAGTCACATTGATTTCAGAGTTTCCTAGTTTACATTGCTTTAGGATTGCCTTCAGGGTGACAGTACTATTTTATTTTTTTAAAGTGTGATTCTTAGCTGCTGTAAGCCAAGAACTGTACAGGTAGTCCTTGACTTACAATAGTTCATTTAGTGACTATTCAAAGTTACAGCGGCACTGAAAGAAGTGATTTGTGACTTTTTCACACAACTGTTGCAGCATCCCCATGATCATGTGATCAAAATTCAGATGCTTGCCAACCATATTTATGATGGTTGCAGAGTCCTGGTTCACGTGACCCCTTTTGCGATCTTCTGACAAGCAAAGTCATTGGAAAGCCAAATCAACTTTACAGCTATATTGCTAACAACTGCAGTGATTCATTTAACAACTATGGCAAGAAAGATCGTAAAATGGGGCAAAACTCTCTTAAGAACTGTCTTGCATAGCAACAGAATTTTTGGGCTCAATTGTGGTTGTAAGTTGAGGGTTACCTGTACCCAATTCCAACATGCTGTATATAGATATATAGATATTCTAGAATATGGTACCTGTACAATTAATAAAGAGCAGTGAAAATTTCCAGAATAAGGTATAGATGTTCACAGTTTCTTTTAAGATTTTCAAAACCAAATACTTCATATTCTTGATAAGTGTGTTCTTGGTCTTGGTATTTTGTTGCTCAACACTTGACATTATGGTATCATCTCAGGATGACATAGAAGAAAATTCAAATGATGGCAGCCAACCATCTAAAAGACGCCGCATGGGCTCCGGTGACAGCTCACGAAGTTGTGAGACTTCAAGTCAAGATCTTAGGTATTACCATTTTTTAAAAAGTTGCTCTAGTTTGATATATTATTGTTTTTTCAACAAAAATAAATGCATCTTTGTTATCTTATTTATTAGGGTATATAGAAACCTCATGAATTAGAACTCTGAACCAATATATAAAGATAGCCAGCAGAAGATTTTGGAAAGAGGAAATCGATACTTCTTGATAATTCAAATTGGGGTAGAGAAAGCATATTTTAGAGTAATTAAATCCTTATGTTGGGCAAATAGAAGGAAGTTGTATTGTGTATAGTCACCACTTTGAGTTACCAAACAAAGTAATAAAGGGGAAATATCTAATAGTAAATGTGTCACTATTTTTCCACTCGAGTGAGCTTCAAAATTATTAAGAATATAGATGTATAAAAGTGTTACTACAGAGCACATGGCATTTGAATGTGGATTCTATTTGGATTGTGGAGTTAAATCCTCATAATTTTAATAATTTGATTTTCTGTGTTTAGTTTTAGTTATTTTCCAGCTGAAAACCTGATAGAATACAAATGGCCACCCGATGAAACTGGAGAATATTATATGCTTCAAGAACAAGTTAGTGAATACTTGGGGGTAACCTCCTTTAAGCGAAAATATCCAGGTATTCATGTTACACATACTTACATGAAATATTAAAATTTAGACACAGTGCAGGCAGGCTTGTTCACTTGTCTTAAAAGTGCTTCCAAGCTGATCAAATGCCTTGGTGGTCTATTTCTTTTGTTTGGAAATGCTTACAGGTGGGCCTCATATGCACCCATTGACTGCTATCTCCATAAGCTTTGGAACCTTTTTTGACACTTCACAGATTTGCATTACATAAATGGCTGCAAATCTGTTACATTTGATTAAAACAAGCCATTGGCACCGAAACAGATAATGTTGAAATAGTGTAGAGTTTAGCATATGTTTGGAAGTTATGTGTTTTGTGATATGGATAATGTATGAGTCAATATGTTTTATGTTTAAGAGAAAATGCAATCAATGTTAAGCCCCTCAAGACTTATGCTATTGTTTCTTTAATTCTTTGGAATTATCCCTGATTTGAAATTGGAGCTTTCTTGCAGCTCATTCTTATACACATGAATTTTCCTATGTGCTTTAGTTTGTGGAAAAGAGCATCAGGACAAACAGCATTGTTTTATTTATTCCCACACAAAATGTTTCTCAGATTTGGCAGTTGCAATAAGTATGCTATTTCTGGCACTAATGTTTTTGGTATGGTGTTCCAATCTTAACTGATCTTTAAAAGCTAAATAGAGTTGGACCTGGTTAGGACTTCATCCTTCCAGAAGGAAAAGCAAGAACTGTAAGCTAGATTGGGAAGTTAAAAAAGAACTTGGAAAAAGGCACATCAACCACTTTATTGCAGTCAGGAAAATTATATACATATATTTATATATCTATGAATTCACTAAGAACTAACCTCAATTCAAATGAAACATTACCCTTTTCCCACAGAAACAATATTAGCTTTTTAATTCAAGATTTTGATGGAAATGTAATTTTAATATTACATATTTTGAAGAAATTGCAAAAATCCTTTATGATTTCTTACTATTTTTCCCATTGTTTTCTTGGAGATTTAGAAAGACGAGATCTTTCTCACAAAGAGAAACTTTACCTCAGAGAACTAAATGTTATTACGGAAACACAGTGTACTTTAGGTAAGGACAAAAGAAAGGCACATCTGTTTTATCTATCTATCTATCTATCTATCTATCTATCTATCTATCTATCTATCTATCTATCTATCTATCTATCTATCTATCTATCTATCTATCNGGTTTAAATGAACATCTAAAATATATTGAGACACTAGGAAAGTATTCATAGGATTGCTACTTTTGACAAAATGATTTCTACTCTGAGTCTGTGAATACTGTTGAATATCTTTGTTTTTGGAAAAGGCAATGTTTGTCCAAACTTTTGGGGACTATATAAAGTGCTGACTGAAATTTGTTCAGAAAAGCAACTGCCTAAATCAAGAGGATATCAATATGGTTTAAAGGCAATGTTTATATTCCAAATGGAAGTTTTGATGAAAGAATAATGTGTAGAAAATAAAGTAATTTTGTTTTCCCTCATAAAACTATAACTCTGAGGTTCCATATTAAGCAAAATGGAATATATACAATGCAGAACTAATTTATATGGCTGCAAATCAGAACATTCCATTGCATTCAGTTAAAGAGCCATTTTGGGATAGTAATGTTAGCTTACAAACAGGATACTGTGAATTTTAGTCCTGCCTTGGACATGAAAAATTGGCTAGGTGACTTCAGACCAGTCACTCTCTTAGTCCAACCAACTTCATAGGGTTGTTGTTGTGGGGAAAAGGAAGAAGTACTGGTATTTTAACCACCTTGAATTGTATATGAAAAAAGAGAATGAAAATATAAACTAACCCCCACTTACTATGTTTATGTTTCATCATTTTAATTTTGAGAGTGAAATAAAGATGTATTTATGTATTGGGGGGGGGGGGTTAGGCTTCACAGGTAGGAAAACACAGAGGTTCAAGCTATGACATATCAGGTATGGACCCTGATGATGACTCCACCACAGATTTTACAAAAAATGAGCTCTTGGTATTCAAGACTAGCTTTGCAAGACCGAAATACGCTAACACTTACAGGATGGAACCTTATAGAAAATGTGAGTCTCATGTAGTAAGGAAGAGAGCTGAAGATATTCTAAAGGTATAGTATTTTCTAATAATAATTAGGTTCTAAACCATGTTATATTATTTTAACACTTTTGTTAAATTAACAATTGTTAATTTATTTTTTTGTTAAAATGTAGTTTATGGCAAATAACCTACAAACCTATTAAAGTACAGGTAGTCCTTGAGTTATGACTACAGTTGAGCCCAAAATTTATGATGCTAAGTGAAACATCTGTTAAGAGTTTTCCCCCATTTTATGTCTTTTCTTGCCACAGCTTTTAAGTGAATACCGGTAATTGCATTTGTTAGGTTAGTAACTTGGTTGTTAAATGAATCTGGCTTCTCCATTGTCTTTGCTTGTCGGACTTTGGTTGCAAAAGCTGATCATGTAAACCCAGGACACTACAACCATCATAAATATGAACTAGTTGCCAAGCATCTGAATTTTGATCATATGACCATGGGGATGCTAAAAAAGTCATTTGAAAAATAGTCTTGTCACTTTTTTCAATATGTTGTAACTTTGAATGGTCACTAAATGAACTGTTGTAAATAGAGGACTACCTGTAAATGGAGCCTATTCATTATCCTCATACACTTCAGTCCCATTTGTGCCGGAAGCACCTTTTAAGGCATTTCCAGGTTGAAAGGATTAGCCACTATTATCACCTGACATAATTTAGCTGTTAACTTTTGGTAACAAGTCTTAGAGTATGGGCAATTCCAGCCTCTATGGACAAACCGAAAATCTTGCAATTGAATTCTGAACATTTCTCACAAATTAGTTCCCAGAATTCCTTGGAGAATATAATATCTAAAATTAAAGTGGTCTAAAACTAAAATAATAATAAGCACAAATATATTCTAACCTCCTATAAAGTTATATTTAACTTGTCAAATAAAAAGGTTCCTAAAATGTATCAAACATAGAATAGCTTTAAATGTTAAATGCTGTATGGCCCATTTATAGAAAATTTGTATTATTACAATTATTGGCAATTTTGTTTGATCCTTAATAGCAGAAACTTCAAGATTTCAAATATATTGGAATCAATGGTGCCCCCACTTGTTCAGTTATCTCCGAAGATATATTAGCAGGAGTCAAGGATCTGGGGTTTGATCGTTACAAGTATATAGTTCAGGTATTTCTTGTGGAAAAGACTGGTCAGTCAATACATGTAAGTACATAAACTATCCTAGTCCATAACTTTCACTTGCCTGCTTTTTTATGTTTCTTGGTTTTAATTGGGTTTTAAAGGGAGGTATTGTATTTCTTATTGGTTTCTGGTTTTGTTTATTGGCCCTTTTAATACCCATCTCACATTTGTACACAAATGGGATAAATAAATAAGGTGCCAACAATATGTACTTGTTTTGGAGCACCTCTCTACACTTCGGATGTTTCTGGATTGAAAGGATTAGCCAGCTATAAACGGTTGCCCAGTGATAGGTACTATGAAAGATATCTATGAAGAACAGTTACCTATTGAATTGTACATATGTATTCCATTTATGTAGCCACCCATCTCACATTCATAACTCTGGACAGCTTACAATTAAAACAGTACTGAAAAATAAAAAAATAAAATAGCCAGACCAACAATACAAACATTAAAAACAATTGAAAGGCATACACTAGAATCACCGGCACACCATTCAAGAACAATACAGCCTTTTTATGGGTTAGGGTACCACTCTCTGATCCCCAAGCCAGATGGGTAAAGCCAGTTCTTTCTGGAAGCCAACAAGGTTGGGTGCAGCCTGACTTTCAGTAGGTGTGTAGATGGCGTTCCAAAGAGCAGGTGCAATGGTAGGAAATACCATTCTCCAGGGTCTCTCCAGATGAGTTTCTCTGGTGGATGGAACCTGCAACAAGCCTTTTTTGCTAAGCTGGATGGGTAAATGTCATTGAGTAGAGGCAATGCCCTTATATAATTAAATTATATATTCAAATGTCAAGGAGCTGGGTTGATTGTTACAAGTATATAGATACTTGTAAGTATATAGATAAAGGTATGTAGAACTTATAGAGATATAAGTATTATCAATAGTGATATTTTTAATTACATAATCAAATATACATAATATGCTAAGACTCAACCGAATCACAAATAGATCAGTAAATAAGAAAGAAATATGGCACAGATTTTTCACTTGGAATAATATTTTCCCCCCCAATTATTTAACAAAGTATGGGAGCAAGAAATTATCAGCATAAACTTTCATGAGTAAAGTACAATACACTTTATTAGATGCATGATATGGGAATGTTAACCATACAATAAGGAGATAATTGAGACATTTCATGGATTGCATTTTCTTCTGAATTCTTTTTTTTAATGCTTTGGTATGTATATGATCTTAACTCATAATAATTCACCTCATGAATATAAATGTTTATTCAAAAATAAAATTATTTTCCTCATACTTTTTAAGATTCTGCATTATTTTTATAACAAAATTACATAGACCTATGGATTTTTTTCCCTCTTGAAGTAAAAACTCAGTGAAATGTGAATCAGTTTTTAAATTTTAATGTTGGGGTAAATTGCTCTAAATTGTATATGTTGTAATTTTTGCAAAATAACCATATATATTACTATAGTGAAAATTGCATACATGCCCATCTGCAATATATAATTCTCATTTCCAGGAGTAAAAATTTGATGCATAGGAAATTTGTGCTAACTTTGCTTTCTGTATAATGCTAAATCTAATTTTTTTATATCTCTTGTTTATAACTCTTGTTGGGTTGGATTTTATTTCTATTCTTTTTTATATTTTAGGCTATGTTCATGAAGATACACTCTTTAAAAATAATCTGGTGAATTCTAATACTAGTTTGGTACCTCTCCAATGTTTTATAGACATTTTAAGTATAATTTTTTATTTGTAGCAGACATTGCATTTTCTTTCAGATTTTTTTTCTTTCTTAATTTGAAATTATTTTGCCATATTATAAACTTGGCGGGGCTATTATCTTTTTTCCATATATTTGCTCTTAAATTTAATTTTTTTTTTACTTATTTATTAAATCAGGTTTGATTATGTCATCATGTCACTTATATATAATGTGCTGACATTGTAGAAATTACTTCAATTTATGCAGTTTGATTTTAATTTTTGGCAATTTATAGATAATTCTGTTAAACTGAACAAACAATACTCATTCAACGGTCCCAGCAATATCGTTGTAATGGATTTGTTATGTGATTATGAATTATAATTTTAAAAAGCATGCTAGCTAATTTGTTGCTACTTTGTTCTTTTCCTTTTTCCAGATTGCCAGCAGATGGGTCTGGGATGTTGCAAGAGATACTTGGGTTGAAGCTCAATATGAAACTGAGAACTATGTTATGGTGGTTCTAGTAGTTGCTTCCTATTTTGAGTAATTCATAAATTAATTTATGGACATTTATATAGCAACCTACTCACAACGACTTTAGATGGCTTACAAACAGTAAGAAAGAAACATTGTAGCAATATATTGAGATTTTATTGTTCTATTTGCTCAAATAAATGTATTTGCTTTCAACTACACTACCATTGTGACAATTTTTGTGCAAAACATTTATGTCAAGGTGATAATCCTTGCTGCCTGTTCAGTATTGATAACCAAACAACTGGGTGTGTTACTGTCTATAGGTAGTCCTTGGTTAAAGATAATTCGTTCAGTGACCATTTAACATTATAATGGTGCTGAAAGAGTGTTCATTACAACTAGTCTTGAATTTCTTGGTTGTCCAGCATCTCTATGGCCGCATGATTGCAATTTTTTCAATCCTGCAGCATAATCACAATTAGTGACCTTCCCTGCCAGTTGAGTCCAGTTTATACATATCCGTATGGAACTAAAACTCTCATCTGCTTATAATTTATAATCTTCAATTTGGGCGAAACAGTGCATCATAGAAGTTTGAATCAAAAGGGCTAACTTACAGAATGCATCCAAAATCCTCATTGCTCTCATGGGATTGAAATTTGTTAAAGTTGTGGCCATTTCAGCAGTTTCTGACTACATTCCCCAGAAACCCATAGGTTGCTTGGTGCAAAGGAAAATGGAAAGAGGTGTATCCCCATCCTCTTTCCTCCCTCCCTCTGGCCCCTGTGCCCAATCAGCTGGTGGCAGGACCCATCAGGCAAGTGGCTATTGGCTGTTTTGGAATAGAGGCTGAAATTTGAAATCTCTTAACAACAGTGGCTAGTTTGGGGAAGGAACAAGAGAATAGTTCAGATGTCTCCTAGCAAGGTAGAGCTGATTGGGAGGCACTGATGTTTCCTTCTTGGAGGGAGGGGGCTCTTGGGGACAAACCAGAACAGGGAACAGGAGTGCAGTTTTGCCCATGGTTCACCGCCCTTTGTTCCACCCACCTGCCCTCCACCCCAAGTGGCAGGGAGTTCCTTGAAACAGCTGAGGTGGAGGACACAACTTCACTGGCTCTCCTGAGAGTGGTGAAAGGAGAGGAAATGATACAAGCCTACCTTACATCAAGAAAGAAAAATGACTAAATGGGTCATGGGCTGTCTAGTTTGCATTTAAAAAAATTAAGTGACCACTAGATGGCAGAAAAAATCCCTGTGTTTCCTGTCACCTTGCAATGATTTAGACCAGTGGTCCCCAACCTTTTTATCGCCGCGGACCAGTCAGCCTTTGATAATTTTACCGTGGCCCGCTGAGCGCGCCCAGGGGTTGGGAAGCCTTGTTCGCGATGACACATTGATTGTT